GACAGGTGCTGCTGCCATTTCCCAGGCCCTGTGACCCAACCAGCCTGCTGGGCTGCCCTCATTTTCTGCAGACACGAGGATAAGGTGACCAGGTAGCTGATTGCCTACTCAAGCTTTCTGCCAGATCACAGCAACAGAGAAAGTGGGCTCTTGCTTTTTCAGGTTTCTCCTGGAAGCTCATCTTCAGCTGGGATTGAGCAACAATTTTTATCTCCCTGTGCCCAGGAAAAGGAGGGGGAGAAGGAAGGAAGAAACAGAGAAAAGAAGGGAAAGGGTGAGGAGGAGGGAAAGTTTGTCTGGCTTGACTTTTTTTTGAAAAAGAGACCAACCAGAAGTTTATGTAATGCTGTCACTTTGGTGGAAAAAGGAAAAGTGAGCAGATACAAGGAACAGAGGGGAGGCAGATTGCCATTTTGTGGTGTAAGCATGGAGCTCTTCAGCACCCGGTGGCAGACGTGACACCCTCCTGACAGACTAAGCTAGCTAGAGACACCTCCCAGGTGCCTTTTCCTTGAGCATCTGAGAAAGCTTTGCAGCCTGGCATGTGGCAGGCAGGGCAGAAGACAGGAGAGAGGCCACTGCTGAGGGGTAAGGTCTACTGAAGGTGGGGAGCATCTTCCCTTTGAGTATGGGGTCTTGTCAGGGGGGCTTTCTCCTGGTGCAGCCCATCTGGGTGGGCACATTCCTTGTGCTTTGGGATCATCTGTCTGTCAGTGACAGAGATGTTGTACATCACGCGTACACCAGGGACCAAGAGGTTTGCTCCCTCAGTGTTTACTGCATTATCCAGTGGGGTTGTGGAACAGGAGCTGCCTGAGGGCTCGGAGTCACAGCAGGCTCAGCCTGCTGCAGATGGGGGTACACAAGCAGCCCCCGACCCTAAGGGGCTCTACCTGACAGCGCAGGTGATGACCTTAACTGTTCTCTTCCCTGTAAGAAATGAACAGCAGCGAGACAAGTGGCATCTCAGGAATGAGTCATCTCTGTACCAAGCAGCATTGTTATTTTGGGAATTAAGCAAGGGAGCACGTGTCTGTGTATTGTAAAGGGCATGACAATAAAATCTACACCAAAGCATTCCTTACACACATTAAAACCAGGCTGCACAGGGCTTGGCAGAGGTCAGGCAAACTGGGAAGTTTCTATTTGCAGATGCCTTACTGGTGTTATTCCAGTGGTACTACCATTATATCTTGCACACTCTATCTATCCTTCCTAGCCACACATTTAGGAATTAAATAAGCTCATCAGACACATGTTCCATTTTATGAGAGCAAAGATGCGTACAAGCGCGTGAATGAATATGAATAGCCCATTTTTGGCATTACTCAAGTTTTGGAGCTGATTTGTGTGAGTCAGAAATAAGTGCTGTGCGAAAAGGGCTCCCATTGAAATGTGGATGGTGAAAGAAAGGGGGAGAGGAGGAAACTTTTCCTCTCAGAAGATGGCTGCTCCCTGAGACAGCTCCCCAAGACACGTGGCAAGTCTTCATGCAGAGCCTGGTTTGTACAGCAGCTCGTTGGGTTTGCTGACACCTCCCCACCCAGGGAGCCATGTCACTGCTTCGCATCGAACAAATGTCTTCAAAACACAGCAAAAATAGACTCGTCTTTGAAAGGGAAAGAAGATGAAAGAGAGTCTAAAAAATCCTCAGCAGCTCAGGGGAAAAAAAAAAAGTCACACAGAGCTTTAATTTTGCCTGTGTTTTTTGTTGTTGTTGTTTTCTTTTGTTTTCTTTTGTTTTTCTCAGCACTTTCACACATTTCAAACTCTCAGTTGTAAATAAGAACATGGCTTTGAACACGGCACTTTTTCAGTAGACAATGAAAATTGTTGTTCTAGCTAGCAAAATATATATATGAGCTGGGAATGACCATGAGCCTAACAAGGCTAGGAACAGGCCCGGTATTTAGGACTTTGCCTCCGTCTGGCCTTTTAGAAAGCAGATCTTGCTACTTGTCCTAGTATCTAGTCAACTGTGGAGATCAGCCTGTTTTTGCCTGTGCTTGGAGCCCCCTGAAGAGTGAAGGAATAAGGCAGTCCGTTCGTGACAGAGTGGAGATATTGCTCTGTCAGACAGTGAATGCAAATTTTGAGAACGCTGTTCAGGCCTGCAAGGCCAAGGTGTTACACCACCAGTTGTACCATCAGTTTATTCTGTCCTTTGTTTACTCAAACTGAGGTATGGGATGTCCCAAAGAGATCTCTGAGTGAGTGTGTCATCACAAGTCATTGCCTTTGAATGTCTGCTAGGGGCCTTGCCAGGCCTGTGGCAGAGTAGATCCAAGCGTGCCAATGTAAGGGAGCCTGGAGGAAAGGTAAAACCATCTTTCTCAGGTCCTGCCTGTCAAAACTGGGTTTTCAGAAACTGCCAGCTAAGCAGTTGGTTGGTATTAAGTGGATTCAACCAGAGTCTCCTAAGGGTTTAGAGAGCCTTTGCTCCGTGGAGGAAAATAATTACACAAAGGGACTACAAGATCTCTGCGTGACCCTGTGGCCAAAAGGGTAAGACACAGACTGCTGTTTCCCTTAGCAAACAGTATGGATTTGGTGTACTTGTTACAAGCCACCGCTGCCCTTTAAACACAGGATTTATTTAGGAAGTAATTCTCTTTCACACAGGGGTATCTATAGATGCACAGAGGAAAGGCGTTATATATCTTTAGATGTCTGTGTGTGCGTGGTAAAACATTTTTTTTTTGGTGCGTGTGTGATTTAGGCACACTGGGCTTGAACTAGTATGGCACCAGAGTGGCCACATCTCAGTTTCATCTGGAGCTGTATGATACTGAATCGCTTTTGTCTCCCCCCCTACAGCTTCAGGCGCTGGGAGTGCGGGGGCGTACAGAGCATCATTCCTCGTCATTGCAGTTACAGAAAACCCTGGAAGTGCAACTGTGAGTGCCTCGTCTAGCTTCAGAAATCAGGAACCAAAACAAACAAAAATCTGCGACATTTATTAATAATTTTAATTAAGCTGCCCTGGTTTCATGCCCAATTGCACAATTTCTCAGGGGGGGAAGCAGGAGGGAAGTGAATTTATGACTGCTGAATGTTCAAGCCTGTCAGAATTGTATTGGGCACTACCAAAATGGATGGCTGGAAAAAAATTGGGGTGTGAATAAGCTGTTTCCTCCACAGGTCTGTTTTACACTGGCAGGGTGCACTTAATGGTTGACTGGAGAAAAAAATGTGACAGACAGGATGGTTTCTTACATGGTCCTCAGGGAATATAAACATGAGCACTGTTCTTCCCTTTAACTCGCCCTCTGGTCACTGGCAAAATAATTTAGATTCAAGTTTCAGGTTTAGAGAAATTGCTGGTAGGAGGGGAAGGGTTAATTTGTTTATTTGGGGGCGTTGTTCTGTTTATATTGTTTTACTTTTTTTTTAAGCCCTGATGTGAATTATCCATTTTGGCAAGTGAATGGGAGCAGTTGCATGTACTTGGTATTTTCTGTCACATGCACTATTATTAGTAAGAAACACATTTCCTTTTGGGGTGAACGCTAAGGACAAAAATAAGGCTGTTCAGATTACCACCCCCCTTATTAATTCTGCTAAAGCAATTGTGCTGGCATTTAAAAGAACTGGCAAATGCGTTTCATCAGCAGCAAATGTGATGCATTCAACGCTCTTTTCACACGAAGAAGAAAACAGGGTCTTTTAAGCACAGGGAATGTAATAGCCAAGCTTTGGTAATGATTTCTAATATTTTCAAGAGAGAAGAGGGGGAACGGATTCCATTCAGTTGTTTCAGTGTGAAGGAGGGGGAATAGCTCTATTATCTAAAATCTCCTCCAAAGCTTTCAGTGCTTCTTGGTGCACATTTTCTCTCCACGTGCAGACAGATTTGCCTTCAGTGACAAATCATTTGGCTATGGTTTAGATTTTGTATCCAATAAGCATGGTATGCCTTAATTCCTGGAATGAATTACCTCATAATCTAGGCACAAAGACAGGACATGCCTCAGTAGCATTAAGTTTTTTCACTTGTAGGGCAGAATACCTTTTCCAAGAATGAGTGGTATCATGGTGCCCAGATGCTGTTGGGCTCTCTTGTTAGCAGTGCTATTATCAGTCATAACAACGTGCTGGTTGAATATCCTTCCTGATTTCCCAGCCAACTCAGATCAGAAAGGGATTTTTTTTTTTTTTTTTCCTTTCAGGTGTTTTGTGCTCACTGGTATCAGCTTTACATTTGGCCCCAGTTAGGTTGGTTTGCTTATCGCTTGTCTACTTGTCTCCACTTCATGGAGAAAATGGGTGGCTCAAAATCCCAGCAGGGGCTTAATGTTGCCTCTCAGCTTTGAGAGAAATGAAAGGCAGTGGTGGAAAGTGCTGTGGCAACTCATGTAGGATGCTCATTTGTATTTATTTTAAACAAAATGCCCTAGCAGTCTGTATTGATAGAGAGTAAACTGCCTTTTCATGGCTGATGGGAAAAAAAAAAAGCATACAGACAAGACAAACTGTTAGGGAAGTTTACATTGCTTTTAGCTATGAGGTATTTTTCCTGTGTTTGCTTCAAGGACTTTGGTCTTCATCCATCAGCTTTTATATATATACTAAATAGCGTTTAACAAGTGGCTTTTAAAATAGGGTGAACTTTTGAAAAGAGAGTATTTATAGAAGTAGCTATTTAGTTTGCTAGTAATTTTCAGTATTCATTTTGCTATTGCTGAATATACAGAACAGGATTATTCACCCACATTACCCAGCTGCTTCTGTTTGATAACGCAACAAAGGTTGTGATGCAAGTTTCTTTCCATGGAAATGGCTGTGATGTCATGATTCATGTCTATGGGTTTAAAGTGGGATCTGTAAGGAGGAGCTGTTTTTGAGGCAGAAAATCCCAAAATGTAAATGTCTTCCATTATTGGTTAAATGGTTGATTAAAATGCAATCCAATTAAGGAATATGGCAAGAAACTCATTTTCCATGACACACTTGAAAAATACTTCCTGATACTGGAGTTCACTAAGAAGACAAGACTAACTTATTAGGAGAATCTACTTCTCCAAGTATGCTCTTCTCACAGATGAGAATTGGCAACATCAGAGGTTTACAGGAAGAGGTGCTGTTAGAGTGCTTAGTAAAGAATATTTATGGGGTGGGAGCGTGGATTTTTTATTTACCTCATTGGCAGTTGCCAGCTGAACTGGGTAAGTAACTTCACTTGAATGTTTTCTGTCCTTTTAAGCTGGGATTTGAGAGAAAAACTGTAGAACTGTCATGCACTTAAGTAGGATTTTTCTCCTGCTGGGTGTCCCTGGAGCAGCAATGAAACTATGAGAGTGAATGCTCAGAAATTTGGATAATAAGGCAGGTAAACAACCACCCTCACTAGATGTTCCAGTGGGTGTTTTGGGTAGAAGTCCTGTTCCAGCTGAGCTGATCTAACCTAAAATGCTTTTGGTTCTTCTCTTTACAAGCCCATTGAACTAATGTACCACGTCTCTCTCAGTCATTTGGCAAATCTCTTGAGCTGGATGTGAGCATCACAGAGCTGGCTCTCAGCTCTGCATTGGATGGTAGGCAAACCTGCTTCTCATTCATTTGCAGCCAAATGGAAGCCTGAGGCTTTTCACTGCTTTGGGACAATGTGCATCAGGACTGCCACCTTGATTATTTGTTGACCAGCCTCAGTGGGCACATGGGATCTAGAAGAGGATAAAGCCTATGGCAGGACTTGCTGGTGGGCAGCTTACCACCTAGCAGAGCACTGTTATAGGCATGCTTCCAGGGCATACCCTTCATCATATGACCCAGCATACCCACTGCCAATTTCAAGACTCAACATTTTGATGGTTTAAACAGAGGGAAAGCTTGTACCTGAAAGTCTGATTCTTGCTTAGGAAGGCTCCTGTAATGCTTTGAAACTTTTTGGTTCCCTCCAGCCTAGTGGTGTTATCCCATCCCTATCTGTGCTGGTGACAGAATAAGCAGTGCTGTGAGATTTCTGTGTACTACTAACGGGTCACGAACTAAATGGCCTCAATCTTCTCCATTGACAGTGATGTCTACTTATGGCTTCCTCCATTAGGTTCAGCAGTGTCTTAGCCCCTACAAAAGAGAGAATGTCACTTCATACTAAGGAAAATAAGCTGTGGGAAATCCATTTAGGGGTTATATATGATATAGCTACTCGTGTCTGTTCTGGTTTTCTATTCCATAAACTCTGGTTGTAGCCAGGCTGAAAGTGTGACTGAAGCTGTAGTCAATGGACAAACACAGAGATATTTTATCCCTTGGATCAAAGAATGTGGACAAAACACAGATATGTCAGGAGATCTACAAGAAGGGCCAGAAGAAGAATCTGGGAAACTACAGGCCTGTCAGTCTGACCTTGGTGCTGGGGAAGCTCATGGAGCAGCTTATCTTGAGTGTCATCATGCAGCACTTACAGGACAACCAGGCCCAGTCAGCATGGCTTTATCAAAGGCAGGTCCTGCTTGATGAACCTGATCTCCTTCTACAACAAGGTGACACACACAGTGGATGAAGGAAAGGCTGAGGATGTGGTCTACCTAGACTTCAGTAAGACTTTTGACACTGTTTCCTGCAGCATTCTTCTGGAGAAGCTGGCTGCTCAAGGCTTGGATGGGTGTGTGCTTCACTGGAGGAAAAACTATCTAAGTGTCTGGGCCCAAATGGAGTTAAATCCAGCTGGAGGCAGGTCGCTAGTGGTGTGTAGAAAGCTGCCTGGTGGAAAGGCAGCTGGGGCTATTGGTCGATAGCTGGCTGAACATGAGCCAGCAGTGTGCCCAGGTGGCCAAGAAGGCCAACAGCATCCTGGCTTGTATCAGTAGCAGTGCAGCCAGCAGGAGCAGGGAGGCGATCGTTCCCCTGTACTCGGCTCTGGTGAGGCCGCACCTTGAGTGCTGGGTTCATTTTTGGGCCCCTCTCTACAAGAAGGACATGGAACGTGCTGGAATGTATCCAGAGAAGGGCTACAAGGCTGGTGAGGGGTCTGGAGAACAAGTCTTACGAGGAGCGGCTGAGGGAGCTGGGGTTATTTAGCTTGGAGAAGAGAAGGCTCAGGGGAGACCTCACTGTACTTTAAAATTACCTTAAAGGAGATTGTAGCGAGGTAGGGATCTGTCTCTTCTCCCAAGCACCAAGTGATAAGACAAGGGGAAATGGCCTCAGGTTTCACCAGGAAAGGTTGAGGTCAGATGTCAGGAGAAATTTCCTTACGAAAGGGCTGTGCCGCCTTGGAGTAGGCTTCCCAGGGAAGTGGTTGAGTCACTATCCCTGGAGGTCTTCAAGAAATGCGTAGTTGTAGAACTTAGAAACCTGGTTTAGTGGTGTACTTTAGTACTAGGTTAAAGGTTGGACCAGGTGATCTTAGAGGTCTTTTCCAAGCTGAATGATTCTGTGATTCTGTGACTGTAACACCTGAGAGCCCGCCCAGAGGCTGGGACCAGAAAAGTGTGTCTGGTGGTGGCAGCACACCATCAGTCTGACCAGCAAATTATCACAAAAGGCAGGAAGGAAAGGTAGCTTTGATAGAGCCTGCCAAGAGCCGGCTGGAACAAGCTGTGGTGTGTTTCAGAGGTTTGGGCTAACCCCATGCTAGAGCTTGAGATGCCAGAGGATGCCCACCTCTGGCGCACTTGGTGGCTCCGAGTGCCAGACAAGCAGCACTGAGTTTTCCAGGAACCTGTCAAATAACTGAGGAAAGTAAAAAGATAGCTTTAGGTCAGCTCTGCAAAGGAAAAAGACAGAAGGCAGCTTTATTTTTGGCAATAGGTGGTCCTGAGGAACTTGGTATTTTTAATCATCTTGTATCCGCCCAGACAGAGGTAGTTATCTATTAAATTGTTGCAGAAAAGCGTTGCACTGCCCTTGAAATGAGCAGTATGTTTTTAAACTGATAGCGTAAAGAGAAGGTGAAGACCTATCATAGCCTGTGATTGATCTAAGGTTTCTGAGTCCATCTTTCAATTTCAGAGCTCATGAAACATCAGGCTGATCTGTAACAATAAAAAATCTTTAAATTTCCAAGGCAGTGAGAGTGGGAGATAAAAAAGGGCTGCTGTGAAGCTAATTAACCCTTGACAACAAAATAAAAATTTCTAGGCAGCTGCCTCGCTTGTATTGAACCTTAGGGCATATGCTAGTACTCCCATAATGTTGACTGTAATTATAGAGAATCTGAAATAGCTTCGGGAGCAAGTCTGGAGGCAGAAAAGAAAAAAAGCAAGTCACAAAACTAGAGACCATAAAAACAGATCATGGAGCTGCTTGAAGTATGGAGAAACCACAGGGAATGGCAATAACCAGTGGCTGAGAAGAAATATCCAGATCTACAATGGTTTTCCTGTCTTGCCACAACCTGCAGGCATCAGCAGTCACAACCACAGAAAGAGCCTTCAGTGGGATCCCGTTTTGCTCTACCCTTTCCTTACTCCTTCACATATGTGAGGAAAGAGGAGAAGTTTCTGGTGAACCCTTTTTTTTTTGGACCATAGCAGTTGCCTGGGCTGATAGTGCTCTGCCAGACATTGCTCTGGATGTGACAGCCATTGCCTAACACTGTCACTGCCCAAAAGTCCATGGAAATGATGTCACCAGGGAATGGCATCAGGACCATTTGCTTTGAGGCCTTCCTTTTAAGATTGGTGGACGAAATGGTGAACAAGCTGACCCGAACTAAACAGGGTGTTAGGCATGTCCTAGCCAGCCTGCTGGGAGGAGGAACACAGGCTGTCAGTGGCGGTGCTGCTGGCACAGAGAGAGGTTTGGAAAAGCACTGTCAGGAAGATGATGTTTTATACCCACTGAGGGATTATTTGAGATAGGCATAACAGTAAGGTATAGATTATAAGCGGTGCGCTGATTATAGTAGTTGGAGGTAAAATGTGTCAAGTATTGAGTACCTTTCAAGAGACAGCATTGCTGGGGGAGCTGGGGATCAAAACTGGTGAGAAGAGTTTGTGGTCTTCTTCCAGGACATGCAGCAACATTTATCCAACTGCTCATTATTAAATAAAGTGGTGAGAATCCCCTGGAATTCCACTCCTGCAGAAGTTACCTTCACTTTTAGATAATAAAATAATTTTATTATCTTAGCTTGAATAAAAGAGGTCGCTAATTAATGATGTTCTGTTCAGAGACTATAGCAGTAAGCCCAGAAAAAAAGTTTTCCATGACCCCTCCAAAGAAAGCGTCTGTGCCAGACTCCTACAACATTATAGTCAAAAAAGTCACTCAGGCACCTGTGCACCCAGGAACAAGGAAGAGCTGGTTATCAATCTCCTCGGGAAAATGCATGCTGATTTCAAATGAAATGTTACAAGATGATGGCCAGAAGCACAGGCCAACAACAACAGAAATAAGGAGTTCTCTAGGCGATAGCACATATAAATTGGCTTGCGAATGAAATACATTATCTTCTTGTCTCCAACTATTATTCTCACTTTCCTGAGACACCTGTTATTATCGTTTATGGTGACTGTACAAATCAAATATATTTTACTGGTAAGCAAGGTTATATGTGATAGTGTGCAGTGAGATAAAGGTTTAGCAATATTGCTTCAGGTTCCTGTTTTCTCCTGTCCAGTGGCTTAGGGGGCAATGAGTAATTTTCTGCTGACTGAAGAACACCAGAGAAAGCTCTAAAAAATATCAGGGATTGTGATCTGTGAATATATGATTGGCATGCAAAAATGCTCCTCATGATTTAGAGCTCCCATCATATGAAGGACAGTCCCGGGCAGGCAATAACCTCACCAAGGACCAGAACCGGAGCTCTCGTTGCTGCACTCCTGTGTGTATTTTAGGCTATCATCAGAGAGAAATTAAACAGAAACAAACCAGGATGCTTGTGTAACACCTCTCCCAGGCTGTTTTCTTCACAGCTAGGCTGACCAAAGTCTCTTCTGCCTGCCCTTCCTTCTCAGCCCATTGTGTCTGTATTCATGGCTGTGCAATGAATGGTTCAGTACCACAAGAAGGTGTGGGGAGCGTTCCTGCCCAGGGTTTGCAATGGCTTGGTGGTGGGATCCCTGTCTAAGGATGCTGAAGAAATTGGTTCCAGAACCCTCAGCTCCTGGAGCACCTCCTCAGCCTCACAACCAATGCCTGTCCTCAAAGCCCAGGGCCACAGATACCTACCTGTTTTAGGGGAGCAGTTAAGCTGGACACCTACATTGAGTGA